TGAAAGACAATAATTGTCAAATCCTCATCGATGGTGATCGATTCTATTAAGAATAGATTGCTTATTTTATTTTTTTAATAAAATATCAATCGAAAACTGAAATAATACGAACCTATTTAGAGATAACAACTAAGTAGAAGATGAATCGATGAGCAAATTTTGTGTAGGAAAGACCTCAAAAACTTTAAAGTCTATAAGGCAGTGCTCATTAAAGCTCCAATAAACATCCATCAATTCAAGAATACGAGATGTTTGAGAGACTAATGTATAACAAGGAAGGTCTTTTTCTTCTTCTAAGAGATCCGTAGGAATTAACAAAGATCAATTCAACTCGATCGACCCCACACCAAAGTCAAAGTCATTGACGAGTTGAAGTAGTATTGGTGGATCAAAGTTCAACTACTAAACAATAGTAGTAGAGAGTAGTTGGGAGCTAAAAGGTGCATTACTGAAGAAGAAGATTAAAGATTCATCAAGGGTGAGGAGATGTAGCGTTTGTTAAGGCTTCGGCGAGGATGTCGAAGGAATAAGTGAGAGAGAATGCCATAGACAAATATGTACAAAGAGTGTTCGATGTAATATTTATGTATGTTCATATCGTTTAATATGTAGTAGGATTGATAGCCTTATTTTGATTGGCATTTGAGGTCATTTGAGTCCTATAAACATAGGTTATATGTCTTCACTCTATAGAAGCAAAACTATCTAAAAACAAACTATTTAGATAGTCATTTTGGAGGTTTTCTAGCTCCACAAAGTGGTATAGAGTATCAACCAACATAATATCCTAGAGCTACCTGGGTGGCATATGGCCAGATGATTCTTTGAAGTAGTGTTTAGGGCTGATTTATTGTTTTATTTCATAGTAGTATTATGCGAGTACTTTGTGGAACTTTTGATCATGATGGACTATCTTAGATTCTTTATTGTGTGACTGTTTAGATATTGTAAAGTTGATGTTTGTAATTTGTATTATCTATCAAGTGTTTCCTAAAATGTCTACTTGTAAGACCTCAAGTTAAATAATGTTTCGTCTAACCTATCTTCTCTTTTATAGGTCCTCAAGGGACCGTAATAGATTTCGAGAAGATTGGGCCTTTATAAATAGATACAAGAGTATTGCACGAATCAATTAAGTATGTGACAATTGGATCGAATAGAGACTTCTTAAATAATAATCTGTCCTAATAGGTGGGCTCTTATAGGATCTTACATAATATAGTTCATTTCGTAATGGGCTTCACTATAACTCTAAACATAATATAATAATTTAAGAAAACCAATTAGGTTGGATTAGTTTTATTTATCTTAATTTGATGACCAAAATTGATATTAGTGTTATTACTAAACGTCAAAATTGTCATGGATTCAATAAGATAAAAGAATTGTTGAAAGGCTTTGCAAGAGGATGACAGTACTCCTGAAATGCATCTTTCCCTTCACAAGTTGGATTGATTGAGAGTTATACTTAGATATATCACATGTGACATCTTGAGAATACTGCTCTACTTGACTCATATATGCACAGTGGTATTACAGCTCATGCTGGATCTGTATCCTGAGGGAGGTTGATGCCCATATAGTGAGTGACATAGGTTGATGATCTCTGCATCCATTTGCTGAAATGAGCCATCTTTGGTGGATGCCAATAAGCAACGCAACAATGGAAAATATGCAGGCTTATTGAAAGTACAAACATCAAACATATATCTAAACACACTCGTTTCCTACGATGTATATGTTGAATGGATTGTCAAAATGCAAGTCCAATTTGAGAGAAAAAGAGGACAATAATGCAATGTCTGAATTAATGGTGAACTCATCTTGCAACGAGAACGAAGATGATGCAACTGAATCAATGGTGAACAAGAAGTGCCTTCCATCACTTGTTTTGGTGTTACCAATCAACTCGAAAACTCACAAAGAAGATTGGAGTCTTAACGATTAATCAAGATTTCTACCTAAGATTCGATTAGTATCATTCCTCATGCGAGCATGACCATAAAGAGATAGCTAATTACTCGGGTAAAAATAAAATAAAACTAATTAATATAATTAAAAATAGTAAAATATGAATATTTTATTTTACATAATTATTAATGCTATTTTAGGACTCTATTATGAAGCCTAAAATTTCTTTAATTTTTTTTTAAAGAGGCATAAAAATTATCAAAAAAAAAGAAGTTTTAAGTTTTTTCCCCTCGAAAATCTCCAACATTTAGATGATAGCTTAAGATCACAAGTCGCCATTATTGTGGTTAAGCTCTTACATCAACATCTAACCATATGTGAGCATCTTAGGATGGAGATGTCCTTTCAAAGACCCGATCACAGTACCGAAAAATTAGATTGATACGTGGCTTAATTACCACTCTACTTTCTATTACGATCATGTGGTGTTTAATGGCTCGCGTGGAGATCTTTTGGGGGTCGATTCTAGAATTAGTGTAAGGTATGCAATCAACGTCGTCCTTTGTTAGTTGATAGGAAACGGATGCAATTGTAGTTATGGGTCAAGTCCTTGCTCATCTCTCCTTTAAAATGACATAACAATAAGAGTAGACTTGTCAATTACACTTTTCTTTAAGAGAGGCCACATATATATAAAAAAAAGGTACTCTCATCACATTGAAAAATTTGGAGGTGAAGTACAAGGAAAAAAAAAGTACATGCAAGGTTTGTAATATGCTTATTTCCATTCGGTATTTATCGGACCGACAACCTATCAGTACATGAACTAAGATAAATCGAATGGTAAAAATATTTTCTTTATAATTTTTTCAAAGCTTATATATAGTGTTACCAAAGATACAATGACAGTCTAATTTTTTATTAGTATACTATTGATACACAAAATTATGAATCCCCTAAGTGTATATATATATATATATATATATATATATATATATATATACATATATATATTCAAATAGTTTTATCTATTATATCATATATATATATATATATATGTATAATAAACATATAAAAATATTCATAAACATTTTAAGTCCATTCACATCGAAGTAGGACAGAGAAAAATAATAATGTGATGATTTTAGATAGGTTAGAAAAGATGTTATTTCTTAACGAGGGTTGAGGAAGAGAAACATCACTAGTGGTGTAAGATATCCTTGTACAATCTCATGATTGATGTTATAAGATCTGATGTCCATATATAACATAAAAGATTGACCTTAAAATCAATGTGTAAATCTAAAACCTTTAGTTCATGTGCTGAAATCCAAAAGGAAACATAGAAGTGATGCCTTAAAAGTGCAATACTATGTTACAAGAAATTACATCAACTTCGACATAGGACAGGTTGTGACTTGACTTGAAAAGCTGAGGTAGAAGCTTCACCTAATTAGTTGAGGAGGCGTTCGACAACGTTGATGGTAGGTTTTCTTCGACCTCGAACCCTGAGGTTGGATTTCGAAAGCCACACTTGTCTACACTTCATCACTTTTCAAGTTCCTCCCCAATAATTGATTGGATCAATGTTTTATGTATAGAAATTTATCGAATGAGGTTTCCAGTCCTCGATCTATGGTAAGGGAGTTCGGTTTTATCTTAGATAACTGCGATCAAAGAAATAATCATTCGAGGAATCAACACCCACATTAAGTTTCTCTGAACTTTTATAGCTTCTCGATCATCACCAAGGTGTTGTTGTTGATAGAGGACATATAAGAATGGGACATGGCCATGCATCTCCTGCGGTGCTCAACCAAATAACTCCGGTCTTCTAGCTCAATCCTCACACTCTCTTGCAGTACGAGTGCGCAGTAGCCACGGTATCTAAGCTCAAAGGTTTGATTTTGGCGAGAGCAATTAGTAGCAGAAACCTCTCATGAATACGTTGGCATGGTGTTGCGGCAGTATCATGGTGTTGATCCTGTCATTAGCTCGTGACAGTGGATCCACACTGTCATCAGTGCAACCTCACATCAACTGATGTCTTAGGTCTTTTAGTGAAATGACGACAGATCTAAAGGTTTATAGTTTGCAGTTTCTTGAACACAGCCCGTCGAATAATCAACGCAGAAGAACATGCAACCAAGGATTCGTGGTGCATATTACACAGCTATTAAGTCCCAGATTTCCAACGAAGAACACATGGCAGACTTTGAAACATAAGGCAGCTGTAACTCTTTGACAAAGTCGAAGCAATGAGATCGGTCTGCAAGAGACAAGGAAGGTGATCTCAGGCGAACAAAGGGATCATGATGACAAGGTGAAGGGAGGGGAGAAAACTGTGTGGTGAAAAGGTCCCCTTTTTTTTCCCCTTTCCTTTTAATTGCTTGACTGATTCAAAGTTGAGAAATTATTAGATATATACTATCTTTTATTTTTTATTTTGACAAAAAAGGTAGGTGGAATGATCATTTTTTAAGCTATACCTTCAAAATATATAATCAATATGACAAATAATAATTCTTTTTAAACCCTATATATATAGAAAAGAGAGAGAGAGAGTCCATCTTGTGATATTATTTGCTAGGAAGGAGAATCATCACATACGAAGAACAATATCACCTGATTAAAAAGCTCAGATCATTTAGTCCTATATATAAATAACATCAGCATTCATTGACTGGTAAATAGCCAACAGTGGGTCCTCTTGAAAACAGAGAGAGAAGAGTTTCCAAGCAGTGTGGAATACATCCAACATGAGAGACACACAGATGGGGAAACCACTGCGTTAAATTATTGACCAAAGTGTAGGGAAAGACTTGAGATTAAAGCAGTCTAAGTGGAAGCAAGTGTGAGGAAAGCTTGCATGGTGACAAGGTTGCGGTCCCAATATGCCTTGTCTCCTTTAATTCACGTTTTAATCAGCATTATTTGTGTCCAAGGACCACATCTTTTTCTCTCTCTCTCTCTAGATTGCTACTGCTGATCCCATACACGAGTGGCACAAATAATTTGAAGCCCCTTCTCTTTCTCTATTCTTCTGATCACCAATACTACCATCCAGAAAAGAAGACTCTGAGTGGACGAGAGAGAGATCAAGAGAGAGAGAGCTTGTCTGGTGTTGTAGCATTCAGGAGGGAGAGAAAGAGTGAGAGAGAGTGATCATAAGTCATTCAGATCTTGAGGCCTAAGCAATAGGTGAGTTGTTATGAGAAGTAGAGCTATCCAAATGCCTTGCGAAGGTTGCTAAAAGATCTACTTGTGACATCGGTCGGAGAGTTTCTTCGTTATGGCTCATGAATCCCAGTACAGCCAGTTCTTGCTGGGGATCAACCCCTTGACGCAGAGCTTGGAGCACAACCATGATCTCTTAGGGATGTTGGAGATTTCATCCAGGCAACAGACCTCTCACTTCACCGGCGACTTCGTCCACCGAGATCTCCCCGAACCATCAAGTAGGAGGTTTCTGGTGCCAGCTGCCGAGATGGCAACAGCAGCGAGCGCATGGCCGGTGGCCGACGGGAAGCTTTGCTTGCCGCTGTTCAACGTGAAGCCCTCCGATGCGTTCGGAGTGCTTGAGTCCTTGCAACACAGCGTGTCCGGAGACAGTTTGCAGCTGAGAGCGGCAGAACAGCAGCAGCTGATGCAAGAAAGGGAAGGCTTGGCTGCACCACCACCACCACCCTTTTACTCACACAACTCCAAGTACGTGAAACCAGCACAGGAGCTACTGGGTGAGCTGTGCAGCCTAGGAGGGGAATGGAACTCACAGGAGAGATCCGAGAAAGCAAGCCACAAGAAGAAACGTGAACCTTCCTCCTCCTCCTCTTCTTCTTCATGGCAACAGTCCCTGTGCGCCATGAATCATTTGGAGCTCCATAACTTAAAGATCAAGCTTCTCTCCATGCTAGAAGAGGTGATCACTTCCTTCATCCACTCTCTCTGCCTTTTACTTCTAACACAAATCCCTATATGAGTTAGTATGATTTTAGTATCCATCAAGTGTTGTAAAGACAACATGAAATCTTTTAGATTCTAATGTGTGGGACTGCACAAATATTGCACTTTTGGAAACATCAATTCCTCTACTTAGAGTAGCCAACCACCACCACCATCCTTCCATCCTCTACATCCAATGGATCTCACCTCTCACGATCTCTATAACCCTAGTTTCATCACAAACAAACAAAAAAGAAACCAAATAGAATAGTGTTAGAATAGTTTTCTAGTACTGAAATTTTCATGGTAGGGCTACTGATCTATTGATCTTATCGAGTTTTCTTTGGACAAGGATTTATAGCTTCTACAATTAATGTTAATATTTAATTAACTCTCTAAATAAGACATGCTCAAAGAAAAAGAGTAGCCGCAGAAAGGATTCTAGAAATGCTGTCCTCATTACGTTCTCTTTAAGTTGTGGTATACTCGCACAGGTGGGGAGAAGGTATAGAAAGTATGGCGAGCAGATGGAAGGTGTGGTCTCGTCGTTCGAGTCGATAGCTGGGGAAGGTTCAGCTACCGTCTACCTAACATTGGCATCGACGGCCATGTCGAAACACTTCAAGCGCCTCAAGGATGGGATTGCTGGCCAGATCAACGCCGTGAGGAGGGCGATGGGAGAGAAGGACCCGAGTGCACCGGCGATGACAAGAGGTGAAACACCGAGGCTGAAGCTGCTCGACCAGTGCATGAGACAACAGAAGGCGCTTCAGCAGGGGATGGCGCAGCAGCTACCATGGCGACCCCAGAGAGGACTCCCCGAGCACTCTGTCTCGATTCTTCGAGCTTGGCTCTTTGAGCACTTCCTCCACCCGTAAATTTCCTAAACTCTTTCTTTCTCTCTCACACTCTCTGCTTATGCTGTGTTGGTTTCCATGGCTGATGGAGGGATTGGGTACCGAAGGTATCATCTTGTCTCCTTATTTATCTGTCATTCATTTCCCAGGAAACAGCACTTATCCAACTTTTTTTCTGATATGAAATGATAATTCAAGTATATAGCTTGCAAACTATGATCATATGTATAGCCTGACGGAAAGAGATCAATTTGCAGTAATGGTTTTGCCATGGTAAGATTTTACCAGATCCAACAAGTGTAGCACTTCTAATTTGCACCTTAATTTATGTCAATGCTACATGATCAAGATGTTGTATCTCATACAACATTAAGGTATTCCTTTCTCTTAATTAAGAGAAATTAAGGCCTTGTTAGCAATTAGAACTGTAAACAAATATGATATTATGTATATTTATGTCTGATTGACTGCATTGTCATCAGGTATCCCAGTGATGTTGATAAGATCATATTAGCACGACAAACTGGATTGACTAGAAGCCAGGTTTGTCCACATCAACTCCTTTTTCTTAATGGAAGATTCATTTTGTCATTCTTAGTTTCCAAGCATTCTTTTAAATCTGAATGCATAAACATCATGTCATCCTAGTACATATAGTCTCAAGGATATAATGATGGTGGCATGCATGGGGTTTGGACGTAGGTCTCCAACTGGTTCATAAACGCAAGAGTGAGGATATGGAAGCCAATGGTGGAAGATATGTACGCGGAGGAAACGATGGAATTGGACGGCCACTCCAACAGTCCAACCACTGGCCATCAACACAGCAACAATCAAAACCCTAAACCTAACTCTACCCTTGAACGGAAGCCACTGCCGGTGCAGCTCCTTGACGACTCCGAATCGCTTTCATCCCTCATCAACAGCAGCCATCACGATGACCAAAACCACTCTTTCAGCAGCAAGACATTACTGCGACAATCTCAGCAGCAGCACCAACACCACCAGCAGATCACCGGAGCCGAGAACTTTAGCGTCGTCGACTTCGACTTCTCCTCTGGCAGCTACGCCAGTGATAACTTGAGGAGCAGTGTGTCACTGACTTTGGGTCTTCAGCAGCAGAGCAAAGGAGGCATGAGCTCAACGTTCTCTGCAGCCTCTCAACAGCCCCTTCTGTTTGCAAGACAGCACGCTGGCCATGGCCAATACGTCGGGTTCTCCATGGTAGATGGGGAGGAGGATCAACCCCTTCCTTACAGGAACTTGATGGGGATCCAAATGCTGCATGACTAAGAAGAAAAGTTGCATCAGTTCAGTTCCCTCCTTACAGCTTTGCATCCCGTATTGATGGTGAAACCATGGCTGAAGTTTCTGTATATCTTGTGTCCTATGACAGGGTCTAATAGTTCGATGCAGTCGTTGGTTTGCACATGTAGGCCATTGAAGAGAACATACAAGGAGACATCGGAAATTTGAGTGGGCATTATACTTCATATCCATCATGATATAAACGTATTTAATTTCTCTGTCTTTTTTTTGTAGATGATTAAATCTGGACACGATGATTTCGTAACTGATTTAGACTCATCAAGTTAATATATATTATTTTTCCATTGGACAGGATGGTGATAGATTTACCCTCGGATTTACTCTTGTTTTTCAACTTCTGTTTCTAACAGAAAAAGAATAGCCACATGAACTATAAAAAGAAAAGAAGAATAATAAGGCAGATGAAGAGAGAAGACAAACTAGATTTCTAGTTTCCTACTAATACTTCCAGACACAAGTAGTTTCGAATAGATTACTCTTCGAGAAAGCAGTTGACAAAGAAAGAAGCACGACATACAACGGACTCCCCCATGGAAACAGCACAAGCTACACAAGTAGAAGATTTCCTAAGAGACATTTAAAGCATTCTTTTGGATTCAGAACATCCCATTTAATTTATTTCCTCAAGCCTTGCCTCAACTTCAAGAAGTCACGACTCCGTGAAAGAGTCAGATGTTTAGCCTTCGCTGACCTTAGCAAGCTTCAATTCAGAAGTGGTCATACCAGTTACAAATGCCAACAGCAAGTAGAGCTCATACAAGAACACCCTAGCACACGGGATCTGGGTTGAACTTCAATGATTCTCTCCAAATAAGTTCTTTGATGTCCTCTTCGGTATATGATGGATGTTCAAAATCAAAGCTGAATGGGGCTGGGCTAAATGGTTCATCATTGATGTCATGGAGAGATGCCAAGTATGGATGTTGTAGAGCTTCATTAACTGCCAAAATAAAGTACATATATCAGTATGCTTGCAACAGAACTGCTTGAAGCATTTTTGGAACGTAACCATAAGAAATTGGCATAAACCTGTTATTCTCTTGCTCGGATCAAATACAAGCATTTTTTCTAGTAAATCAATGGCTCCAATGGACATGGTGGGAAACCTAGCACAAAACTCTTGCTTCGGGTATTGAGGAAGTTGCCTCACATATCTACGGGCATTGTCACTTCGGAGAAATCCAAGGCTTGAGTCATCCGGTGACCCTATTAGCTTACCATGATGAAAATTCATTGAGATGTCAGATCATTATGCATAAGAACTTATCTATTAGTTAAGCAAAATGCTATCCGAGAAACAAAGTTTTGAGTAAAGACAATTTCAGTAGGTTTAGCATGTTTTCATGAAGAGAACTCGGGATCTGGCATGGCATGGAAACTTGCCTACATTATCTGAATTCTGAAGTACACAAATGTGCAAACAACAGAGGTACTGTAGCACAACATATTACAGACAGGACTGCCAAGAAACAAGACAAGCAGTAGGGAACTAATTAGTTATCATTGAGGAACACAAATTAGATATTCAGCAGTCAATTATCATTTTAAGGAACAAAACACATATCCAGAGCCAAGTTACCCTTCCCCTTGAGATTGACTACTGTTGCTGCAAAGTTGAATAATAAGATCTCTAGAAATGGCTAAAATATCATAGATAGCAAAATACATCACCAACAAAAACCAAGATTTTCAATGCTATGTAAACCATTCATTGCAATAAGATATATATATATATATATATATATATATATATATATATATATATATATATATATATATATATGTTATGAACTGGGGAATGCAATGCATCTAAAAGTTGTACCTCGGTTATCAGCCTCAACTGATGGACATAATCTTTTCCAGGAAATAATGGTTCTCTGGTCACAATTTCACCGAGTATGCACCCCACCGACCAGATGTCAATAGAAGCAGTGTACTCTGAACAGTTAAGGAGTAGTTCAGGTGCTCGGTACCAACGAGTGACAACATATTCAGTCATGAAATCTGTCTCAGATGTTGTTCTTGCCAATCCAAAATCTCCAATTTTAAGGTCGCAATTTGCATTCAGGAGCAAATTGCTAGGCTTGAGATCACGGTGCAGGACATTTGCCGAGTGCACATATTTCAGCCCTCGAAGTAATTGATAAAGAAAGAACTGCAAAGATTAACTAGTGTCGTGAAAGCTATAATTGCAAGTTGATATGCCAAAATACCATGCAGCAAAACATTTAAGGAAACAAAGGTGTCTGATAAATTTTTTCAAAAGCCACTTACAAAAGCAAAAACTAAACAGAAGACAGTAAACTAAAGGATATATTGGCAATTTATGTATATAGCATAGCAATCATTGTTTGAGAAAACAATGCCCAACTTTTGGATTCCAATTGTGCAACAAGGTCTGCTACGGATGTAAATAGGAAAGAAGCATTCATCATGTATAATCAAATTTAGAATACAGGGACTATAGCAAAAAAGAAATATCCTAATCTGCAGTAAAATGTTTTTCAGAATGCAGGACAAGATCAAAAAGTCCAATCTTACCAAAGTACAAGGCTCAGAAACTTCTAAATGAAATGGGGGTCAAACAAAACACTTGCATAACTGAAGGGGCAAAACAAATAAAAGAAGCAACATTAGAATAATTAGACAAAAAAAAATGTAGATATAGTCCAGATATTATCATGAATCATCTCTATTCGGTAAATGGCACATGCTTTGTCATCAAGATTTTATGAAAAAACTACTTTTTGTTGAAATGTGTATGGCACTGAATACTAACCTCACAATGTTAAATTATGCAACATCAATTATGTGCTTGTCTTATGGTAAATTATGCAGAATTTATTTAGTTGCATTCAATATTAATTATTTGCCATTATGATTATTATTTTTCACAAATAGTCTTCAGATCATTCAAGAACAACCGTCGCATGTGTTATTACGGGTCCAAAAACCTTTTCTTTTGGTTGGCCTTATCAAACAGTTTGATAGAAGCAAGATTAAAGGTAAGAAGAAAAACAAACCTTCTCTAGAGAAAAATATAACTAGGAGCAAGATGCCATTGGGTTTAGGAGGGCACAGACATTAGTAGATTTCAAAGCTTCTCAAAAGGTTATATATGGATTAGGGCAAAAAAATAAGAAGGAAGAAAAACAGGGACCTATGGATGTCTTGGTCAGTTAGGACAATGGTGCGAGGAGAGGGAAAGATAAAAGAACTGTGTTTTAGGTGACGCTATTAGTTTAACCAGGGATATTGCTTTAAACAAAGCTCAAAGGTATGAAAAAACACGTGGGATTTGATTACTCAAGGGATATTGTCCTACACAAAGCTCAGTTGTTGTAGAAGTTCCACATACTTGACACCGACATCACTGCATGTTCAAGTTGTAAATCACTCAATAAGTAAGTTATCAAACAAAAAATTCAACACAATCAGAATTTGAGATGGTGGACACAAAGAACTGAAAATAGGTACAACAATGATCCAAGTGTACAAGTGAGGAAGCATAAAAAAATATTTCAAGTATCCATATTAAGATCCCCTCAAAAATATATCTTCAAGCATATATGTCAATCCTAAGATCCATATTTAATCTACAAAATTCATCATGAGAAAAAATGGATCAGCTAGAATGATATAGATATCATAAACTGGTTTCCTCTCTTAACTAGGTTTTCTCCAGAGGGCTACTGTTAAACACCAAACCTGGCAATGGTCATCTGTCAATGGTTGGTTGGAGCGTATTATCTGATGAAGATCGGTATCCATTAACTCGTAAACAATGTAGACGTCATTGAAGTTTTCTCTTCTTGGAGGGCGTATGATATCCTTAATTGCAATAACCTGCAACATGGAACACTTGTCACAATCGGCAAGTAATATAAAGGCAGTGATGAATATTAAAAATTTTCAACAATTGAAATACATACAAGTACATATGCTCAAAAGGATGAAGAATCTCTTGGGTAAAATAGAATACTTGAAATAACTTAACTGCAACATTTTAAAAAATGAATATTGGAGACCATGAAAGATGCATTTTTATAGTGCCCAAGCCTTTCACAAAGTACATGATCCATGCCTTAAGCATGACAACGTTGGACCTGCACTGTCGAGTTGGGGAAGTTACAAAACCTTATGCCTTCATGTGCCTACCTTGTGTCCAGGTGCAAATTGTAACAACAAAAGTTTCAACTCGCTATGCCCGCCTTGCACCCAATGCTCACAGTATGTATGACTTTAGTTGCATTAATCATCATTGTCAAAGGTTTCACATCAAAATAGGGTCATATATGAGCACAAATACCACATCTACATATCAAATAATTACTTAAAAGAGGAAAATTTTGGGTAAAATCAAGCAAATAAAATACCCGTTCTACTTCCATTAAAAAAAATATATAAATTATATATTAATTATTAAATTGATACATAAATCATCATGAAAGAAAACAGTGTCATTCCTACCCAGTACTTTTCAAAGGATAGTGAATTCAAAACAGCCATATAGCTGGGAACAACGGCGTGCATATGCCTACCATAGCCATGATCAACCGAAATAAACAAAGAACCAGGCCCACCAAAAGTTAGCCTGCTTGATGCCTATCATTTTAGAGCATAGTTGACCTCTCCGGTTCCTTAGAAATGCATCAATCGATTTGCTTTAGTGCAATATAATCAAAGGTGCTAGACACTAGAAGGCGCCAAAGTGCCAAAATGACTGAGGCGCAAGACACTCGCCCGAGCGAGGTGCTCTCATATTTAAAAAAATTTAAAAAATATAACTAAGGAGAAGTATTAACACACTTGATGGAGCAATCAAGGGAAAGGAGGTGTAGAAGAGGAGACAATAGTAGGAGGGGAAGGAGAGAGATAGTTATCGCGAGAAGAAGAGCTTGTTGGAGATCCACTCAGCATATGGAAGCCTCTTGTGAGAAGAAGACAATGTCGCCCACCGTTGGAAAAGAAGACATCACTGGAGAGGAAGATGCCACCACTAATTAGTTTTTCTAGGGTAAGAATTAAGGTTTCATGCATGTGGGGGGAATTGGGCTCATATTGATCTGGTTCAATCAAACTAGAATCAACGAACCACACCCAATTTGGTTTGGATCAGGCTCAAGTCAATTGGATTTCGTTCAGGCGTGCACCTGAGCACACCAACTGCTTGACGTCTGGGCTCAAGCATACGCCTGGAATCAGGCATGCACTTGCGCCATGCCCAATTGAAGGCGCCTGCCCAGATGTTTTACCAGGTGCTCGGGCCTCGCCTCTCCCGAGCGCCCTAGCATCTGTTGACTTCCCTGCCTTTAAGTAATCACTTTCATTAGGAAATCAGATAATGATCTGCTATTGAGTTAGAAGGCAACACTAAAATCTTTCTGCAATCACTTTAAAATAATGTACACAACAAGATTTACATGTTAACTTCTCTTACATAAATAAAAGTAGAGAACACAGGTACCAAGAGCCACTACCAACATCAGTAAACGAAAAGGAACCAAGTGAAAAGCACTAGAGGAAATATGGATCACCAAGCAGTAAACCTTTCCACATTAAAAGGCATAAACACAGACCATATAGCTTATCGATCATTATTTATTACTTTCTTATTTTTTTCAGTGACACCAGGCAGTACAGGTCAGTGTACTGCCTGGTATACCAATAATGCATGCACAACTAGTAACGGTGACCAAGAATTTAAACCATTCTGATAACAGAGTGATCTAACATGGACCCAAGACAGGCCCACCTGAAGGCCGAAAAGAATATAGATCAACAACACCTAAAAGATAATCAACCAATTCAGCAGCACAAGGTTTACATCTCCTCACGATGAAATATGTTGCAATGCCCAAAAACCATAAAAATTATTACTCACAAAATGGCGAAAATCAGAGAAACAAATGAAAGGGCACTACATTTAAGCAAAATCACCCTAAGCAGTGCATCAACTAGCAGAGTGAAAATTCATTATGAATCTGAATATGTTTCAGAATAACTGGTTATTCACAAATCTTGGGCTGTTTGTAATGGTTATCTCTGAAGTGGAGAACCAAGCCATTTCAATGGCGGACAGTGATTATGAAGGACAGGTTTATTCTATGTCAAATGATCAGAAAACCTGTTCTACCAGGAGTGAATAATTCAAGGAAAAATGCACCAGGAACAGAAATGCAAATCACTTGAATGATCTTATAACTAGAAACAACTTGAGAGACAAATAATGACAAAGCCATGTCCACTTCATGCTCAACTTACATTCTCATGATCCATGTGGCGAAGAAGTTTTATTTCCCGTAAGGTTCTTTTGGCATCAATTCTGTTATCAAATGCATTGCCAATCTTCTTTATTGCAACCTCTTCACGTGTCTGAGAATTCACTGCAGCACTAGAAAAAAGATCGAGAAATAATTCCTTTTTATTCCTGCTAAACCAAAGATGGATTTGAAGAATTAAACTAACTCAGCTTTAGCAAAGGACGAAACAAATCAAATTACTACAGATTGTAATCCTGACTCTCAAAATTTAGGAGGTAGTTATGTAAAGCATAGCAATGTAGAAGAAAATAATGAACAAATTGCAAATAAAATAAATAACGTTGGAACCAAAGTTATTTTTTTTCATAGGAAGCACCTTATAAAGGGGGAAAACGGCCTAAAAAATGGATTCATTGATCTGAATGATATGATGATTTTTATTCCATCGAGCTCCTCTAGCTTCGCCGAAGACTGTACAAAAGATGTGTCCATGTGTAATCTTCTTACTCTTTCAACAATTACAAAGACTGATCGGTTAATCTATACATACCAAGAGAATAGTATTTCAGCCATATGTGTGTAAAATTATTAGAGTATAGATGCAAGGATTAACAGCATCACCCTTTTTTTCATTTTGGTGGCCCTTGTATCATGGTACTATGGTTATACACTCCAAGCTGATAAATGCTAAGAATCAAGCAGAGGCAATAAGATATCTTAGAACCTAGGCATGAAGTGTAAGTATAGGCATGAGATTCAGTAGGGTGAGACTTAATTTGCACAGAGGTATTTCATAATTAGTCTCAAAGACTCAAATTAATAAAATAACAGGAAAGGGGTGGGTTCACAGCATTAACAGCAAAATAGAAGAAGTCAAAGAGGATAAGCAATACATATAGCTACATGAAAATGCAACACTAGTAAATCGATAAGAACAAAAGAAACAGAAAATAAGTTCAGTAAGAACAAAAGGCCATAATAAACATGATTTGATGTTTCAAGTTTGATTAAAAAGATGTTAAAGTGGAATGTTTTCGCAATTTGGTAGCTTTGAGTTAAGAGTGGTGATTTATTTGAGTCATATTAAAAATAAAAAATCAACAAAATTGAGCAAAAGTGTGAAAAATATTTTTCATGCATCATAGTATAGAAACCAAGCAGTAACAGATGCTAATTACTTATGGAAAGGATGGAGATCTTATCATGAAATGCCACAGTCCACGTAAGATCAGCCCAAGTCCTCCAAACCCATCCAGGGGTTTGGAGGATGAATTCAGTGATCTATCCATACATGTATCTAATGTATGTGTAAGTACAAGCTATAAAAATATAAGGTTACAGCCAAGGATTTTAATTTAAAATAATACTGCCTGTACCGGGCGATACCGTCAATTGTGGTTGTTTCCGCCCTGTTACCACCCTAAATCGATCGTCACCGCCCGCTACCGGGAGGTATTAGCTAAGGGAGAAGAAAGAAGAGGGAGAAAAAGAGGAGAACCTAGAGATCCGACGTCGCTCTCCCTCCTCGTCTGAGGCGACGAGGCGTCGGCATCGTCGGCAACTTCTCCTCATCTGCGCAGGGAGAAGGATCCTCGATGACGTCGTGGGGAGAAAAAACCGAGCATCGTCGAGGCGGGGTTTCTTCTCCCCACACAGGCAGAAGAAATAAGGTGACGAGGCGGCAACGTCGCCTCATCGCCCTTTATTGCGTGGCGAGAAGGAAACGGTTTCTTCTCCCCACCTTCTCCCCGCGCGGGCAGAAAGAGGCAATGTCAAAAAGGGCGAGAAGGAAACAGAGGTTTCTTCTCCCTATGCGCCAAAAAGGGCGACGAGGCAGTCACCCCTTTTTTTTAACTTATATATAGATACGATATGAAATTTCAATCCTTGGTTACAGCATCATCATCTATATTCTGGAAGTTTTAGAAAAGAAGCTAGAAAGAAATGTTATCTCAAATTTCATCAGAATTTCAGGGGGAAACAAGGGATGCAAAGGATAAAAAATAAATTGTAAGAAGCATGGAAGCATCGTCCTGTGTGAAAGAACAAAATTTGCCCTTGTTTAATACATCTACTTCTGATTTTAAGCTGTTGAAATTGAATCAAAATATGTCCACTTTTGCTCTCTCCAGGCCTTGGTCTTGTATGGAATCCACCTGGAGCTTGGAATCATTGACAAAATGTAATGCAACAGCAATAATCACAGAAAAAGATGCAAAAAGTGGAATGTGAACATGATAGAGTAGAGAAACAGAAGAAAAAAGCATAACAAAGCTTAGCAGCAACAGTGTACCAAAGAAATAAAAAAGGGGAACAAACCTCACTGAATTATCTAGTGATTAGAAAAGTGATTTTGGGAACTAAATTGGTGCATCTTCATAGTGCCTAAGCCTTTCATCAAGTGGACGGTGCATGCCTCTAGCACAACAAATAACTTGTTTTGTCTTGAGTAAGGCAAGTTATAAAACATGTGCCTTGTTGAACCTACATTGTGTTTAGCCACAGGCATGATTATAACAACAAAACTTGAGCCACGCTATGGTTAATTTTTGACCTAGGTGCATCGTTGTCACTGTCAAAGGTTATGCATCACCATGGTAAATTCCGATCACAATCACTCGATGTTCATTTCGAATGAAAGCTTACGCACAAATGAACAAGTTATGCAAAATCTTTAGTTGTCCGATAGTACTGTGATATGGTATGAATTTCTCAAGCACATCATGGAAAGAAGAGCATTTCCAGCAACTGCCTCGTTGCCAATCATCTCAAAGTCAACTTTTTCTTACTTCCCAAATCCTTTCTTTTCGAGGAACAAAAATTCAAGATCGCCCACGAACAATGGGCGTAGTGACTATCTTTGCTGCAATTAGTGCTGCCTCGTGAGTCCCTTAGGATCTGTCTCATTATGACGCCACGTCAATTGAACTCGATACTACAGTCAAAGTTACCTATTCATGTTCCTTTTAATTCTTATAACTCGAACACAAATTAAAAAGAGGAACAATGAGAAGAAACAGAGAACCTAATCGGAAACCGATATCTCCATCGCAAGAAGGGAACTCCTCCAAACCCATAAAGATGGGAGCATTACGACTCACCAGACGATGCCGTAGGCGCCGCGGCCGATGGGGCGGAGCGGGGGGACGTACTTGGCGGTGACCTCGAAGAGGTTGCCGTACACGTTGTACTGCACGTACCGGCCGCCATGCGTCGGGAAGCCCTTGATCGGCCCCTCCCCATGGGGGGCGGCAGCGGGCGCGGAATCCATGCCGAGGACCTCTCCCTGGGATCCTCCGCGCCCTCGTCCTCCTCCTCCTCTTCCGCAGCGATCAGATATCAGAGAAATGGTGGGAAGAGATGATATAGGGTCTCGTGGAGGAGAAGAGGGTAAAGGGAAAAGCCCGTGAGATGGGAGTTGAGCTGCGTCTGCTCTGCTTCGACGGCTGCATCTTCTTTCTTATTGGTCGCTTCCCGTCGCCATCGTCGCCTCTTCCTCGGCGAGTAAGATGTTGACCGGACTGTAGCCAAAGCTGAGACCAGCAGCATATGAAATTACTTGGCAGCTTCCATCCTCCCCTGTTTTTGTTTTCATGTTGTGTGTTTCTTGTTTTATACAACAACCACCAACAATAACGCCAACAAACCATTCTGTTTCAACTGATTAACCGCAAAGACATAGATATTTCATATAAGACAATATTATTAATTATTTTAAATATATATAAATTCTTTTGTAATTTTAAACAAATATAAAAGTTATTTTTATTCTTAAAAATTAACTTTAGCCTCAACAAAGAACAAAATGAAAAAGAATATGTACATGTGATAAAGACATTAAGATTATTTGTACAATAAAAAAGAAGACAAAAAACATTTTAATAGAAATTAAAAATAAAGATCTAAATATTTTTAATTTAACTAATGATATTATTTATTGTATAATTTCTAGAAATTTTTTAGGTCTCATCTTATATTTTTTATAATCATTATAATTAATTATCTTATCTCTTCTAACTGCACCATCAATACATGTATTTCTTATAGTATAATAATAAATAATTATATTATTTTTTGTTTTCTAAAGTACAATAATAATGTCATATGCTCCAAAAAAAAAAGGACTTAATTACAAGGTTTTATAGGTATATATATATATATATATATATATATATATATATATGTGTGTGTTTCAACTGATAGTCAAACAATAATCAGCTGACAAGTATTATATATATATATAATACTTGTCAGCTGATTATTGTTTGACTATCAGTTGAAATTTTAATTGTCATGAATACCTTTTTCTTGACTTAAATATTAATAATATTTTAGTAATAATAATTTCACGAAAATAAAAATTAATTATACATATAAATTTAGTTTATATAGAAAACGATGATAAAACGGATGAAGTCCATCTCTCTCTTGTCGTCTGTGTTGGGGGGAGGGAGAGGAAGGCTTCTTGTCACCAACTCGTCTTTTACTTGCTGTTGTCTCATACGACTCCTCTTTTCCTGAAGGAAGCCTGGGAATAGAGATGTAATGTAACAGTAGAAAGAACTGCAGTTGAAAGCTCCCAAGATCCCATCTTTAGCAGCCAAGCCATGGAGAGGCACAGATGCAAGCTGTGCTTCCGCCGCTTTGCCAATGGTCGCGCCCTCGCCGGTCACATGCGCTCCCACCACGTGGTTCCGGCGAGAGCACCCCGCCCCCTCCCCTCCCCCTCGCCCTCTGCCTCCTCCTCGTCTCCCCTGGCCGCGACCGCCGCCGAGGCGGAGGATGAGGTGAAGCCGTCGGCGATGTACGCCCTCCGTGAGAACCGAAGGGAGAGCTTCTTCTCCTCCGCCGCTGCCGCCTTCCAGGACCGCGGGAGCGACACTGAATCGTCCATCCGCCGCTGGCCCAAGCGCCGGCGCCGCCTCCCGGCAGAGCCCCCAGCCGCGGATGAGCCGGTCAGTTCCGTCTCCGACGCATCCCCCGACGAGGACGTCGCCCGCTGCCTCATGCTGCTCTCGCGCGACGCGTGGTCCAAGTGCAAGGCAGAGGGGCGCCACACCAACGGCTGGGATGAGATCGAAGGAGAGGAATACGAGGAAGAGGAGGAGGAGGAGGACGACGAGGATGGGATCCGATCCAGATCGAGGCGGCCGAAGAGCAGATTCCAGTGTGGAATGTGCCGGAAGGTGTTCCGATCATACCAAGCACTCGGCGGCCACCGCGCAAGCCACAAGAGGGTGGGGGCGAATTGCGTTCCTGCCTCCGCGGGAATGCGGATCCACGGCGAGGATTCCTCCGGCACCACCGCAGCCCACCATGACGCAAAGCTCTGGGAGTGCCCCTACTGCTACCGGGTCTTCGTCTCCGGCCAGGCTCTCGGTGGCCACAAGAGGTCCCACCTTTCCTCCTCTGCTGCCGCCACCGCCTCCACCTCTCCTGCCGTCCCACTTCTTCGTCCACCCTCGCCCTTCACCTCCGCCGCCAACAACGACACCAACAGCGGCATAGATCTCAACCTCCCAGCTCCAGACGATGAGGCGGAGCTCTCGGTGGTCTCTATCGCAACAGAGTCCGCACGCAAATGACTTCATCTCGCCGCTTAGATCACCTTCCATTACAGAAAAAGACGCCATCTTGAAGCAATTCGAGGCAAATTCCAATGCAAGCAACACCAAACTCCACCCAAAATCTCATCTTTTGAGGTGGCCACTGGGAACGAGGATCCAATTCCATTCAGCTGACATCAAGTTCCGATTTTTATCGCATTCTTTCGTTGTTTTTGTGCTACAGTTTGGGTTTTATGAGCTATATAAATCTTTCTTCAGCAACTAGTGGATAGCAAACTAGCTGGACTATAATCAAGCAAAAATTTCCTGTAATTAAGCAAGGAGTGAAAGCCTGGTGCTCCGTAACTGAGTCAAGAGGAAGAAGATGGGAGAGTGGATTTGGAAGCACAGGCGCAGTTTCCAGCTGTTGTCGGCTCTCCTTGTGTCCATTCAACTGGGTCCCCTGTTTTTGTTGTTTCTGATCCCTAATGGATGTACTTCAAATAATGATCAAGGACTCTCCTTGTTGAGTGACACCTACCGTTCAACTCCTCAGCCTAGCTCTGTGAAGGAAAGCCACAGTTTATTACCATTCTTTACGATGATACCACCTTCTTCCCCATTTGTAAGCTTGCTTTGCTTTGGACAACCTTGCAATGAATGGCTCAAAGGAGTCTCTTCGATGGGGGATGATTCCTTGGGAGGGAATCCCCAACTCATCATTGTTGCGGCTTCTCACTCTGACCCCGAGGAGTAGCAGCTCTTAGGAAAGTCAACTTAGGGAAGCTGAAGGCCAAACTACTGTATCTGCTCCACCTCACAAGCTCAGAGCCAAACCGTTCTTCTCTCACCTGCACCTACTACCATGCGATGAACCAAGCTCATCTCATCAATGTAGCAGGATTCGAATGAAAGATATGATTACAGTGTATGGTTGTCTCCAACTCCAGATCAGGTGTAATCCGAAGAGTGCCTAAAAATGCGGCCTTTGGGTTGGGAATCGTTGAGTGACGGGCTTCGAGATGTCGGCCACTTGTGGTGGAGTCAGCTTTGCGACATCAACTGCTCCTCCCCCCAAACCACAAGTTGAAAGCTCGCAATGGATGGATAGCCTATGCGCATCAGATCTCGGATCAATTGCCGAGATAAATGGAAGCAAAGCATGGGATGGAGCAATGACAATCTAAGATATGATGACGAAAACTTTCCACCATTATTAATGATAATAATAAGAGAAATAAGCCACATAATGCTGCTCAATCCATATGGAAAGGCCAATAAAATTTGGGCCATTTTGCTCAAAATAGGTAAACTCTAACATTGAATGGGAAAGTTGAGTTATGGGTCTCCATTTCTATTCATCCTTATTGTATTGTCCTTTGGGTTTGGGGGATTTGCCCTCCATTACTTGTATTGCAAAGAAAACCTTTTGATGTTTCAGATATTATCCTATTTCCAAAAGCCAAATTTTATGCAATTCCCAATAATTAAACAAAATGGGGACCAGCTTGTAAATAATATAAGCATAATAGATGGGTAACAAATTTTGCATTTATATTTGTAAAGTTAAGATTTTTTTTTTGGTACAATACTAAAATGATTTAATTAATTGGATTATAATAGGAGTTGTTTTTGATATGAGGGCATTTTGATCATTTGAAAAAGATAGAACTCCTTATAAACATTATGGAAACAATAGAAAATAATGGAGCTTTTCCAAAAAATTGTTATAAAGTTTGAAAAATAGTAATGTCCCTCTAAATATTAAGATTCTCCACATATAGCTTGTTGTTAAGATCAATCCAAAGTAGATTACTTGTATCCATAATTACCAATTATTAGTTTAAACATTAAAATTAGTTTTTTTTTATAAAGAAAACAACATGCCTTTACTGTTCTTACCATTTCAACAGTCTGTAGAAGGAGAGATCAGTATCCTAACAATTAAACAACAAGGATAAATAATATATATTCATGGTAAAGTCAACTTTACAGCAATAAAGATGGAAATTGCGAACTTTGGAGGTCTACATATGTGATCATATCCAAACCATTCATATAAAGAAATAGGTAGGTTAGCTATGAAAGATTTTGATTATTAATTGGGTTCCAATCCAAAGAATAAGAACAAAGAAGTGATTGTTGATCACAAGATCCTGAATCGAATGCCTCCTCGACCAACTTATTTCTATTTCTTAAGTGGTGAAATTTCTAGATAATACGCTAAGTATAATAGTCATGTACTGTACGCCACAAGAACAATGTTCAGGTGGCAACATGATGCAGAACTATGACGAGCAGAGAGGAATAGTTGCCATCAAAGATGCAGCGTTAGGTCGATCTCCTCGTCACTTGCGTTCTTGGCATCCGTAGCCCCACCGAGATCTTCCTTGGATGCGAAGCTTGGGTTTGTGGAAGTCGATGGGGCTTCCATCCTCGTGGATGTTGATGGTATTTCCGTTCTTGCTTGTGCCATCTCAGGCCTCGTCGTGCTCGGAACACCAGCAAATCTAGAGTGGTAGGACCTCTGCAGCCCAATCCTCCATAGAGCCTCATCTCTCGACACATGATCACCGTAGGGAGAAGCGAAGAAAGGCTGCTTTGAAGTGTGCCTCGTCGTGCCGTAGCCGTGGAAGTTGTAAGGTGGATGATAAGGTTGGTGCTCGTAAGACATCTGCATAGGGAGGTTCGTCTTTGGGAGCAAAGGCGGAAGATGTGATTGGTAGCCGGAAGGCCTCATCATGGGGAGGTCCAGCTTCGGGGACAAGGGCGGCACGGGGCGGGCCGGCATCGGGAGCAAGGGCGGAAGATGTGGTTGGTAGCCGAAAGGCCTCAGCACGGGGCGGTCCGGCGTCGGGAGCAAGGGCGGCGCGAACTGGGCTCGGGCTGCGTGCATGGAAGAGTCATGGGGTGGCACAAATGACGGGTAAGGGAGTATGGGGACAGGAGCATGGTTGTCGTAGAGCCCCCACAAGTTCTCCAATAGTCCGGCGGCGTGGCGCTCCCTGCGGTGGCCGTTTTGGTGGCCACCCAGGGCTTGCCCGGTTGTGAACGTCCGGTCACAGTACTCGCACTCGAAAGTCCTGTTCTCCTCCTCTTTGTTCTCTGGTTGATCTGCCAATCCAACCCTCCCTGCTTCATCTTCGTTCGACATTTTGATCTGCAACGATTCGAAACCCTACTGGTTATCCACTGTTTCATGATTCATACACCGATGAAAATGAAAGATTTAGGTCACAAAAGTACGTGCTAAATGCATGCAGCAGCAGCACGTAGGTCGGAAGTATAAGAAGAAAAATGTGGACAGTAAATAGTGATGAGAGACTGAGATGAAGCAGAAGATCAAGAACAAAGAGAAAGACGTACCGCTGGTGATGATGCAAGTCCACTGGAATCGTATTTGATGGGCGAGATGTGGTTGCAATCACCTCCTTTTATACTTTGGGATCGATTATGGTAAGGTGTCTTTTGCTGCATGCCAATAGAAATCTGACAAAACATGTCTAGATTGAAAGAAGATTTTTACAGCGAAGATGGGAAATCTTTAGACTATGGATTGTAAATGTGGAAGCTGTTCATTCCTTCAACCATGCATTCATCCCCTTTCAACAACTAATGCTAGATTGTCAATTCTGCAAATGGCATATGGAGACAATTAAGATTACTTTTGGGGGAGTTCTCTTGTTGGTGCTTCTGTCAGTCATGTCTTTAACTCTTTTGCACCATTTATTGACTTTAGAAAGATGTTTATTTAAGTAACTATGTGTTATTTCCAATTTAGAAATACTACAAATGTATATATATATATATATATATATATATATATATATATATA